CAAGGGGATTGGTCACTTTTGCCTTAAAAGGTAGCCAATTGCAGAGCAGAGAGGAGGAGCCCACCACCAAGGAAGGAGAGACCAGCAGGAGAGACCCAGCGGCAGGAGACGGCACAGAAACTAGCACAGAAACCCTGGTAGCGTAGTGGTTAAGTGCTACAGCTGCTAACCAAAAGGTTGGTAATTTGAATCCACCAGGCAATCCTCAGAAACTGTGGGGCAGTTCTACTCTGTCCTATAGCTATGAGTCGGAATCGACTTGACGGCAATGGGTTTGGTGTTTCACCATTTCTCTGTACACACTTCTACTGTAGCACTTATCAGAAGCATGTACAGCTGTTTTATTTAGGTGCTTATCTTCCATGCTAAACTTGAGATGGTAGAAGATACTTGTTAAGAGGGCCCGACTGAGTTGGACAAGACTGGATTCAACTCACCCTGCAACCTCCTAGATGCGAGAGTTTGGGAAAGACATGGAACTTCTTTAAACTTTTGTTCCTTCATCTATAAAGTTGGACTAATATAGTACCTACATGAGAGGTTGTAGTAAGGATGAGCTAAGACAATGCACATAAATTGCATCATGCCTGACACGTGGTGAACATTCAACACATTTCTGTTATTGTTGTGGTTAGTTGTGAACCCTTCCAGGAAAATGATAGATTATATTGCTTTTTTGTTCATTCCTGGCACCTAATACTATGCCTGATACACAGTGTTTGTTCAGTTGAAATGAATGGAAAATCTGCTTCCCTAGCCTTCCAAACAATTTCCATTTCTAAATACAATGCCAGTCACTTTTAAACATCACATTTAAATAAAATGGTTAGCTGTCAAGTCTTTGGTCAAGATTATGTTCAAATTTGTAATTGTTGTGAAAATGACTAGTATTTCTCTTTTATTTTGAAACTTAAAAGGTGAGTTTCTGTTTTGAGAGCAATATTAAGATAGGCAGTATTATGTTGCATGTTTTAATTACAACCTATGCTTTAAATCAGAGAAAACAAATAATGTAGGCCTAAACCTGAGCTCTGTGTTCAGCTGACTTGCCATAGACTATTGGGAGAATCTGCTAGAAACTAGCTCATTCAATTGGTCTTTCTCAATCCCTTTTTTAAAACCGCTATCCATAGTATGAAACACACCTTAAAGCATGACTCCAGTATACACACATATGTAACTGAAATAAAATGTCCATGAAATAACACTTATGCTTACTTCTTGAGGTGCACTCTCATATTTTTATTCTATTCTATTTTTGCTTCTAATACCAGCCGTAAACCATGATATAGATTTCATGACCCACTGAGTTTTAAAACTTGCACTTTTAGAAACACTGCTTTAAATAAATGTATTTTCAATGTTTGTTCAAGCGTCCATAACGAAGAATGCTAGAACTGCCTAATGTTTCACTTGAAAGGTGATGTTAATTTGACATAATGTCCAATGACAAATTTTAGGGAAAAGTCACACAGATTTAATCCCAATGAGATACTCACCTTCTCAAAACCCTATAAAAATCACCCATCCCCAACCGCTCACCCCCAGTCTTTGAGTTTAATTGAGCCATCTTTGACAGAGTTCTGTTACTGTAACTGCAAAGACAAGCCCCCCCAGAGTTCCTCAGTCCAGCTGTGGGAGCTAGGCCAAGGGCACCCGTGTCCTACCTTTAGCAGGCTTCATGCCCATCATCTCCATGACGAATCCTGATGCTGTGTTGCTATGATAAGGACTACTTTGAATTGGATTTTCCAGCCCCTGAAACTGCATTACCATTCTTAGCTTATTCACAGCAACCGAAAATGAGACTAGGTAAGGAGTGACAGAGGCCAGAGGTTGTGCAGTTTACTGATTAACTTCATTACAGAGCAGAATATTTGTAAATGTTTATGAGAAAAGGCGTCGATGCCAAATTGCCTAGTAAGGTGGAAACCAGTCTGTTAGATAAACATTTTCGGGAAGCACTTTTTAGAGAGAAGATTTCTGTTCAGTAGCTCTGAAAGTGGCATTTGGGGTTAAGTGCCATGTGCTACATCTTGATATCTATTCCTGTCAAATGGCTTCAGAATGGTATAATTTTGTGACAACAGGAAGTATCAAAGCATAATGGTTAACACTGTGAGCTCTGAAGGCTGAGAGGCCTCAGTTTGAATCCAGGCTCTCTCACTACCTACGAGCTCTGTGGATTACGGACAATTTCCTGAACCATTGTCTGCCTTGATTTCCCCATCTGTAAAATGGGGCTGAAAACCATACAACCTCATAGAATCATTGTAGAGTTTAATGAAATAATATTTATTAAAGCCTTAGCACAATGAGTGGCTAACCATCATCATCTTGTTAATGTTAGCATTACTTGAGCTTAGAACTCATGTTGCAGGTTGAATAGCTGATGGAGTAGAAATAATTCTATTTTTTGTCCTTCAGCATAACTTCTGGATATCAAGCCTGTGTCTACTGCCTGTTTTCTGGAAGAGAAGCCTTTAGAACAGGACTCAGTAGGTTCAGAGTTGAGTCCAGGCACAATGTAGCCAGCCGCACTATATAACCTTAGGGAAGTCTCTCAGCTTCCATGGGCCCCATTTGTCTACATTAACAGATGGTAAATCATAGATAATAATTCCTGCCCTACTTCCTTCATAGGTCTGTTGTGAAGATAAAATGAGATAATAATTATGAAAGCACCTTTTAAAAGGCTAAGGTGTTGTATATAAACATAATAACCATTGCTAGAACAAAGCAGTCCCACAGGCATTATCTCGTTTGATCCTCACATGCACCCTTTGAGGATGGCGTTATTTATGATGCCCACTATCTTCAATTCCATTTTACAAATAAGGAAAGGCAACTCAGTGGTGTTAAGTGGTTTGTCTATAGTCCCACAGTTAGTAAGGGATGAAGCTGGGACTTTAACCCAGGTCTTCCGATGCAAAATCCAGTGGTTGAAAACTAAGGTGTAGTTGCCCTAATTGCCAAAAAAGATGAAAAGAGAGGTGGTCTATGGGTGGACTTCAATTTGGATTGCTGAGTCAGGGTTTGCCATTTGTAAAGCTGTTCTTCATCCTCAGTTTACTTCTGACCTTATTCTCCTCTCCTCACAATTCTAGAGCTTTCCTGCCTTAAAAGGACTTGGGTAGAAGAG